GGGGGTTTTTTTACGGGGATTGTTTATTTTGGGTAAATTTCGTACCCCAGCCATTTTTGGTTCCAAAGAAAAGGGGGGGGGGGGGGGTCCAAGGGGTCCCCCCCCCCCAGTCACAGATTGACCAAAAAAGCCCAGCAGTCTGAATAGGGTTAAGTTGAAACTGTTACTGGTGTCACCTAGTATAGCGCAGGTAGTTCTGTTCATGAGTTTCGATTTCATAGCTATAGTATTATTAATTGTAGCTGAATTCTAATGCTGGAATCTTTTTCGTCATTTCGGCAGAATTTACAGATATGGTCCCCTACGTTCGGACTCCGATAATACCCTTTGTCCAAATCTTCCTTCTCACTGGGACTGCAGGTTTCCTTCGCATTTTTTTTCTTTACCTTTCCTCGATTCTATGTTAATAAAGGGCTACTAGGCATATGGAGTGTTAACCCCTACTCCACAATCCCACTGCAAAGTGGAAAAAAATTGTTGAGCTCTCTTACACGGCATAGTTTTTTTTTTTCCTTTAATTTTTTGTAGACACACACCTCTCTTGCCAACCCCTTCCCTTGCCCTATTCAATAATTAGGGAATTGTCCTTCGCCTCGTTGACTTCGTAAGTTCGTTCGTTCGTTCATTCATTTTGCAAATATTAAGTCATTCTTTTCTACATTAAAGCTGAAAACGCACTTTATTCAATTAAGTTGCAGGAGACTTGACAGTTACTTTGACAGTGTTTTCTGGCCGTCGTGATCCTACTTGGACTATACCTTCCAGCCACCCAAATTGTAACCGAATTAAAAACCATATGGCAAAATCACCAACTATTTCACCAGAAAACATGCCGGCGCGACTGGGCTACAAGGGTTTCACAGTGCGAGAAGAATCTGGACGGGAGCGACTGATTCTTGGACAGTCAACGAGGGCCTTGCAACACCTGTTACTTTCGACTATGCCTGCAGGAGAACTACTAAAGGAAAACATCGACGAAGTTCAAAGAGATATTGATAAATTAGATATACACCATGCTCTCGGATCGACAGCATCGTCAGTCTCCTCTCAGGATTCAAAGAAACGAAGATGCAATAACTGTTACAATTATGCCAATGATATCCTAACAGACACTTATTCCCAGCCTGGTTTAGCAAGTGGACAGGTGTTTAGTGGCTACAAAGGCACAAGTCTCGTATCTGCTGCGCAGCTCGATGGGTTGAAAACTGTACCGGAAGAACAAGTATTTCGTAGCTACAAAGGCACCAGTCTGGGATCAAGTTCGAAGCTCTGTAAGCACAAAAAATACACTCTGGCTCTCGCCATTGACCAAGGTGAATTGTTTGACGTTTCTGCATATTTTCTAAAACGTTTCCTCTTAGTTTCAAAATAAGATTCAATTTCAATATAAGATTGCTTTGGCAACGGGTCGTTGGCAATAGGGTATTGGGTGTTCAGGATTCGAAACTTATTCCAATGATAGATTTGCTTGAGTGCATGACTACCAAACAATAGCCCCCTTGTGGATGCGCAAGCCAAATGCCCATAATATATTTTATTGAAACAGGAATATATTAAAAAAGTAAAATAATAACAAAAGCAAAAACAAAAATGAAACCCCAAATAACTTTTATTGAATCAAGTATATATTTAAAAAAAGTGGAATATGTGGAATATAAAACGAAATAGACAGCAAACCAAACCTTAAGAAAGCAAAAAAAAAAAAAAAACAGGAAAAAATTAGCTCGGAATATTAACTATACTTCTTCTTTCCTTAATTTTATATTTATCTATTTATCTATTCATTTTTAAGGTTACTCGTGAAAAACGCTATAGCATTCAGTTTGTGCTTTGTCAAATAATAACAATTTTTATTTTTTTTCTATCATATATGTCAAGGCTCGCAGGACAGGTCTGGCGACTTTCATTGGTACCGCCGTGATGGCGTTGAAAAATGGTCCCACAAGCCCGGCCAAGCTAGACCGACCTTTAAAGATAACGACAACAAGGACATCAAAGACCCTCGGAAAGCAAACATGGGCAGCTATAAGATTGTAGCGTTTATGGAAAGCTGTAAAGATACTGTAAACATTCAAAATAACGATGTGTGCTTGTGAAGAAATTTTTCGATACAACAACGGCGAACCTTAAACTAATTAAACTTAGAAGAGCACTTGGGAAGTGTCTTCTTGTTTTATGGGGTATATGAAAAACTTGATTCCCGACACTGCCATTCCACTAGAAAAGCGATTCACAATGCAAGATTTTGACTTTTCTATTCTCTCTGTGCATGGTAAAATGTGGGAAGATATATAAGTAAAAATAAAGGAAATATGAGATGAATTTATTTTTAGCCAAATTCTGTCTCGCTCAGTTTACCAAATAACTTAAAAATCACTTATAAAATAACTGAGGTAGTACGCCCGTTCTGATTGATCAAAAACCAGTTTTCTTCAAGTGTAACAATAAGTTTTTTGCTTTTAGGGTGGCGCCTGGGATGGGTTTAAGGTCCCGCTTGCCCTTTTCCCTGGAGATCAGAAATCGCAATTTTTTTCTTTTATTTTTAATACTATTATAATTAGTCTTATTATTACCTTGTTTCGTCAATAATTTTTCTATTTCTTGTTCTTTTTTTATTATAGTTTGGCTCCAATAAAGTGTTAAATTAAATCGTAAGCTATGATTGGCTTGTTATGACTTCAGAGAGAAGACCCGACTTGATGACAGTATTCCACAACATTTTCTGTTTGTGAGTCATTTTCTGTCAGTCGATTTTACCTAAAGTTGTGTTATAAAAGCAATAAGCCACACTTTCTATGGGTTTACTGGAGCGGGTGCTCTTATAGATCTTCGTATAGCTCAGGAAAAGGGCCAGTAATATGAATACAAGGAAAGGAAAAGACCAGAGAAGAAAAATAAATCAATAAAAACTCTAGGACACCAATCAATGGTCACTCTCTTGTTAGAAAGACTCCTACACTACCACCAAAAATAACATAAAACATCTCATGTCATTTATGAAGAACATAGAGCCCAAGAAACTCGGTTGAAAGGTGAGACGAAAATATATTTTTTAACTTGAATGACAAGTACAAGATGATGTGACTTGACGTAATTATGACATCATGTTGATTTTTCACGTAAATTTCCGTAAAGTAGCCATAAAGCGAAAAATACTTAAAAAAAGGGCTGGGAGATAAAATCAAGATTTTATTTATTTATTTATTTATTTATTTTTATTTTATTAGCTTTGCCCTGAAGAATACAAAAAAAAAAAAAAAAAAAAAAAAAAAAAAAAAAAAAAAAAAAAAAAAAAAAAAAAAAAAAAAAAAAAAAAAAAAAAAAAAAAAAAAACAAAAAAAAAAAAAAAAATACTTAATACAGAAGAATAACTGAATCATCAACTCAATAAACAAAAAAATTATAAAAAAAAGGTAGGAATAAAAATAGAAAATTTTATTAAATTAATAAATTAATTAATTTAATTTTAAAAAGTATACAAGAAAAAAAAAAAAAAAAAAAAAAAAAAACAAAGAAAAAAAAAAAAAAAAAAAACACTGAAGATATGCAAACACTAGTAATAAGAAGGTAACAATACACTAATAATAACTCAAATATTTGGGCAGGGACACCGCAACAGCTAAAGCCAATTACTGCGGACCCAAAAAATAAAAAGACATAAAAGTAGCAATTCAAATCACATGCAGCAACTAATTTCTTGGTATAAAAACCCGGCTGTGTTACATTTCAAGCAAATACTTTTGAAGCTCCTTGGAGAGTCCGGGTCATAGTTTATTGCTAGAGCCCGCGAGTAATAGCCGTAAAGAACAGATTTAAAGTCTAGTAATAAGCAGGTTCCAGATTCTAGTGGTTCCAATAAAAAAAAAAGATCTCTGAAAGGTAGAAGTCATGCATTTTTTAGGCACAAAAGATTGAGAGCTCGTTGCGGATATACGGGTCCTTCGCGCGCATTCGCGCACGAAGGGAACAACAGACGGATCTAAGTGAATAATATTATGCGTAGCCTTGTAAAAGTATACTAGATCTACTAACACATAAATAACATTTAACAATAGAAGTGATGTCATGATGGCGTTATCTATTATTCATAGGCGAACTAGAGGCATTGTCTACCATGTTAGATCCGTTATTCCGAATTATATTACCAAATTCACTCCATTTTGCTTAAAAGCCGTTTAAATCGAGGTAATCGTGATAATAAAAAAAATAATCTGTGTATAAAACAATGCTAATAAGAAGTAAAAAAGGCTGAGGCCGTTGAACTTGGAGAGAAATTAAGACTGTTGAATACAGAACCAAACGTTTGCTATTTGGTGATTTCAAATTAATGATTTGTCTCAAATTAGTCACTAAAAATCCTGGATTGCATTAACTACCATGATAAATTTAACAAATAATGCTACTGATGAAGTGTAACACAATAATAAGCGAAAATAGAAATAATACATAGAAAAACTATAGAAATAAAATATAGTAATATTCACGTAAGGACCACTTTAAAATTTTTCTGATAAATGTCTTGATCTTTGACTCGGTATGATTTGTGATACAATATACATATACATGTAGACAACCCCCAAAACATAAATTTTTAAACTGGTATTATTTTTCAGGGTTTCTCATATTACAGTTGACTCCCGATAACTTGAACCTTCAAGGGAAATCGAAAAAAGTTCGAGTTATCGGGAGCTCGAAGAAAATAGCCGGAAGTAAGCTAAAAAACAGTTTTTACCTTTCAGTGAACATTTAAATCACATTTTATAGTAGAAATGTTAAGTGAAAATTGAAAGATACTTTAAGATTATAAATCAGAAGATAACGTAACATAGCCTAAATAGAGCACAAGTTTTACTGTTTTGAGAACTAAAGCTTTTCACTTTAGATTTGTGGCAAACAACATCTGATCGGCGCATTTCAGTGTGGTTGATATAGTTGATATACTGAGAAAGGGCCCTGTTCGGCCTCCACTAGTAAACTATATGTCTACGACACGTCAATGGGACTTCAAAATCCAATGTTTCGGACGCCAGTACACTGTTTTTTTCCCGACCTTTTAAGCGCTCAAAACATGGTTCGAGTTATCGAAGGTTAAATTATATAGAAATGATCTGAGGGGGAACAAGAATTACTTCGAGTAAGCGGGAGGTTCGAGTTATCGAGGGTTCGAGTTACCGAGGGTAAAATTACAGTAAATGTTGGAAGGAAATCCAGGGGAAATCGATTTCGGTTCGAGTTAGCGCGAGGTTCGAGTTAGCGAGGGTCATGAGGGGACACAAATGGCTTTTACTGTAAGTACAATCCCACGCAGAGATGTTTTCGTCGCGGGCAGTTAATCCGACCTAATCCCATTTAATATGTCCCGCTTCTCGAAAGTGCGAAAATTTATTTGCCGTGTATTAGATTTCAGTATACATTTTGTTAATCTTCATTTCGCGCCAGAATAAATTCGTTTGCGCGCAAAGGGCTTCTAAAAAAATCACAAGATTTGTCCCACTTCGAGACCACTTTTTGGAGATACGCGGGCTTAGTAGCTGGAATACATTGCAGAGGCGAAGATCTGGCGTCTTTTTCTCCTCGTCGTTTTTACTGCACGACATTTGCTTTAACTGTAGTGAGAATGCAGTGCATATCGTTGGATTTTACTTCATGCGGCTTCGTGCGGCTTGCTACTTATGAAAGAAGAGTGGCGGATTTCATGTCTTTGTTCGCCTTTAATTTTTTTGTCGAATACAAGGTAAAATAACCGACTACTGTAAGGTAAGAATTGAAGTTTTAAATTTTTTTCTTGGCGAAAAATAGTGCATAGAACTCGTGAAACCCGTTAGTATTACCTCTGTTATACCTAATGTCATGCGATAACTCCTCGCCTTTTCGATGAGTAATACGACTGATACAAAGAATAGCTTCTTTCGCAAAGTTAAGAATAATTTAGTTATCGAGACCATTTGAGGACGATTTATCGTTATATGCTTCATTACTTGGCTTATTCCGGCTACGTGCGAGGAGTTAGATGACAATGTTTGTGTGCTATAATTATGCTCCGATAATTTCTTGCACCTTTGTATTGAAACTCGTGAAAGCAAAACTTGTTTTACCCTAGCAAAAAACTCTTCTATTATGGAGACACTTTTAACGACTTTCAGGGCCCAACATGGTCTAAAATTTTTAGGGAAAACAAAGTTTGATTTTTGGCGAAACAGACGGTAGCTTTTTTCTTTGAAGAGAGCGCGAGCCAAACGCGAGCTTTAAGCCCCGTGAGTACAGCAAACCTAGTGATTCTTTAGGTAGAGCTAACAAACATAGGCTGTACTTAAGGTGGTGCACCTATAAGTGTAGTGTAACCCAGTGATTCTGTAGGTAGAGCTAACAAACATAGGCTGCACTTAAGGTAGCGCACCTATAAGTGTAGTGTACCCCAGTGATTCTGTAGGTAGAGCTAACAAACATAGGCTGCACTTAAGGTGGCGCACCTATAATTGTAACCCAGTGATTCTGTAGGTAGAGCTAACAAACATAGGCTGCACTTAAGGTGGCGCACCTATAAGTGTAGTGTACCCCAGTGATTCTGTAGGTAGAGCTAACAAACATAGGCTGCACTTAAGGTGGCGCACCTATAATTGTAACCCAGTGATTCTGTAGGTAGAGCTAACAAACATAGGCTGCACTTAAGGTGGCGCACCTATAAGTGTAGTGTACCCCAGTGATTCTGTAGGTAGAGCTAACAAACATAGGCTGCACTTAAGGTGGCGCACCTATAATTGTAACCCAGTGATTCTGTAGGTAGAGCTAACAAACATAGGCTGCACTTAAGGTGGCGCACCTATAAGTGTAGTGTACCCCAGTGATTCTGTAGGTAGAGCTAACAAACATAGGCTGCACTTAAGGTGGCGCACCTATAATTGTAACCCAGTGATTCTGTAGGTAGAGCTAACAAACATAGGCTGCACTTAAGGTGGCGCACCTATAAGTGTAGTGTAACCCAGTGATTTGTTGGTAGAGCTAACAAACATAGGCTGCACTTAAGGTGGCGCACCCATAAGTGTAGTGTAACCCAGTGATTCTGTAGGTAGAGCTAACAAACATTAGGGTGCACTTA